AAGAAACCACAAAAATTTTTGATTCCGTTCCCGTTTTGAGGAAAAAAAAAGTATTCTTTTTTATTTAATAAAATTATTGAGAGAGCAAATAAACAACAAAAATAAGGTACATTTTAACAAGTGTCTTTCGATTTTACACTGTTTAAAAAGTTATAATATATATTTTAACATTTTAACGTTTGTTACTGTATATTATTATGGATCATCAGAAAAAACTCTTTTTTTGAATATTTTCGCCGCAGTATGTCATTTATTTCTTTAATAATATTTAAAATATCTTCCTCGAAAAATAATATTAATCATGTTCAAACTCTTCATCTACAGCAGATTTTTGATTTGAGGGAAACTCGGTAAAATTCGATATATCAGGATAAAATAAAAATTACGCCACTGTGCTCAGAGATATATTCTCTGAACTTTACCAGGTTTACCGAATGTATTGAACTTGTATAATTTAATGTGAAGGGTAAATAGTTTCAAAATTTAATTTTTAGTGTTACCGAAATTATATCCGAGATTCTGCCGAATTTTTTAAATAGACTAATTTTATATTCCTATTCATTTTAACATTTAACAGCGGTACAAACATAGCATTTTTGAGTATTTCTTGGTAAGTTGGACCTTTAATCCTCTGCAAGACGAGCTGAAATTTGTACTATTTCAACGATTCCTTATTACCATCATGTTCTTATAACCGGTTCAATAATCCGGTTTCAAAAAAAATAATTCAACATATACTTTATTTCAAATATTTAATTATATAATTTTTTTTTTTTTTGCCTTAAATATCTTTTTTAGAAAAAAATTATGCTAATGCAAAAATATATACGTATTTATTTAGTGATCGTTTTATGCGTAATATCTATACATTTGACAGGTTTCTTGCATTAATATTTTCTTTATTTTGGAAATACATGCACAAACATCCGTATTGGGATGATCGATATGGGAACAAGCTTTAGTGGTATGTACATCCTGTCTCTAAAAGGTATCGTGCACATTAATTATAACAATTTTCGTATATGTAGACCAAGACTATTTTATTGCCAACGTCTTTTTGGTTCCTAACACCTGGATTTTCAGTGATATGCAGAATACTTTTTGATTAAAGACGGGTATCAAAATTTTAGTCTTTCTCAAGGTACCGTATGAGTTACAAATTAATAATTTAATGTCCAATAAGAAAGTACTGTATAAAAGTTGATTAATACCTGATTTTTAAATTCTCATACTTCAAAATTCTATATTTTTAGTTCTTAATCAAGTTTTTGTAATGGATGCTCTGAAGAGGAGGTATAAGAAAGTTCTTTATGAACTTAACCCCTACTACCGCCGCTAAATGTGAAATTAACAATCAGGAGTAGCAGTTATAGTGGAGCTACTGTCAGTATAATGACAACAACTATGATGAAGTCCCATTAATGAACCATCAGAATATGTGATAAAGACCGCCAATGGAACTAGAGTAAACTATCAATATTTTTTAATCGACTAAACTGGTAACCGTATTACCAACGCAATAATTTTTCCAAATTCATACGAAAAACAAGCTTTTAAGATTCCTTTTTCTACACAATTACACATGATGATATTTTCATTGAATGTCAAAAACTTTATTTCTACATAAAATATTTTTTTCTCATGAAAATCAAATTTCTCAAATATTCCCTCTCTCTATTATTTTAAGAAGCTATCTGGTAGTTTAATAATAATACAAATGTATCTTTCATGCGGTGTTCAATTTACAGGTCAGTAAGTTTATAATTTTCTGCATATTTCTCATCTTTTATATCCTTCACTAAATTATTATTCTAATCGTCTTGAAGTGTAAGGGTTTTATTTTTGTGGGAACAGTTATTCAGAATTTCATCCTTGATAACTTTATCAAGGAACTATTTCTTTCTAATTGGAAAAAAAATTTTCATGCGTACATGAAATCATGAGAATGTCACAACAAACAAATATGGAAAGGAGAAAAAAATTTTTTCTTCTTTTTTTATTGAAATTGACTGTCGTACACATTTTGTGTAAATTAGATTTTGTCTCGTGATACTGCGCAAAACTCACACAGACGTTGTATTTTTTTTTTATTTAATTATAATTAATTATTTAATTAAAACTTTATCTATCTAATATTCAAATGAATAACTTCAAAAAGAGAAAAATAATAAGGTATATACTTTTTTTATATAGTTTTAATATGCAAAGTATTTTAAAATATATTAAGAAATTTTTTCCTTCTGTAGAAGACAATGGACCATTAACAATAATATAATTTCCGAATAAAGCATTAATAAATAATTGGGACCAATTAATTAAATTAATTACTGAACAAGAAATAATAATAATTCCAAATATAGGGAATAAAAAGTTTTTTATCGAAATAAGGTTTAATGTTCAAAAGAATATAACTATAAATTAACTGGATTAAGTTTAGTACCGGTTTTTTCAAGTTTATCCGAATATGATAATGACATAGAATTAACATGTGCATCAAAAAAAAAAAAAATCTAAAAAATCTTTTATTATTTTGCATTATTTAAATTAATAATTAATTTAAACTATTGTATATAAACAAAGATGTAATCCAAATGCGTGAGAATAATTAATGTGCAGTTATCAAGTTCTTCAACGTGAAATGGTGTTAAAGAAACGTCGTACAATTTCCAAATATGAATAAAAGATTTTTTTGCGATTTTAAGGAAATATGTATTTTTAGACTTACTTTATTTAGCAAATTGATTCTGTGATAAAAAAACGAAAAGATTAACGAATGATTTTGCATTTTTTTTTTTTGATTAAGCAAAAATTTAATTTTAATTCGATTAAATAAGCTCAAATTTTATTTAATATAACAATAAAATCAATAAACAAATCAAACAAAAAATATTTTAAAAGGTTATCAAAAAATTAAAATTCAATTTTTTTTTTAAAAAAAAAAAAAAAATTCATTAAATGGTCGATTTTTATTATACCAGGTAATCATACCATTGAAATGACCGCATTAAAAAAATACACGTGTTAATAGTTACGTGTTTTATTTGTTGCACATTTCGATTGGTTTATGCAATGCGAAGTTGCGGACAGACATTGCATGACTGCATGCCTGTACTTGAAGTGTCCTACAGCTTCGGATTCAAAGCCTAAGTAATTCACAAGATAGAGAGCTGCGGCGATTTTTAAGGGGGTAAAATAAAGCACGTGCGATTGTTACTGAAGATCTCGATATACCAATATTCGATACCGTATATATATTAAAAATTCGATATATTATACAGTTGCCACTGGATATAACGAACTCTGAGGTAATATACCGATAATTAGGACAAATTTGTGGTGCCGGCCAGAATTATAAGAAAAATTACCAATAATCCTGACCGGCACTATAAATTTAGCCTGGATTCACATGACTGTTCGTTATAGAAAATGTATATAGCTAATATATGGGGCTGGTTGAAGTTCAGTTCGGTTGCGTTAAATAGTGTTTTATTATAAAAGTTCATTATATCCAGTGAAATTATTTATAAAAAATCGGTTCCGGAAATTCCGGTTAGATTTCGGTACAAACAGTTATAACCAGTGGTGATTGTAATGATAAAATTTCATTTTACCACTATATGAGAGAACATATAAATATCGGTATAACTTGATATAACAATATTTTTCACAAAGATTTCATATGGATCTCAACATATCGTTATATCGGAGTTTGACTGTATGTGAATTTCCTTTATGGACAATACAAGTCGGTATTATTTAATTAGGCTAATTAATTAATGCGAATCATCATAAACGTGATGTTACATAAATTCAAAAAAGGAAATTTCGTTTCACAGAAATATTTTGGTTATAAAAAAAGGATTTTTTTTGCCGATCATACAGACAATTTAATTCTGCGGCGGTCTTGAGAAAAATTTTGCTGAGTTTATAGATGGGATTTGGGATGGAGTGTAACGCTTACACTTTACAACAAAAATTATTGAAATTTTGAATTTATTCGCTTTATTATCAAATCACGTGATGCAAAAAACATTTCGGCGGATTTGGTTACTTTGTGTTAAATGCTAAATCTGAAAGATTTTCATAATTCCAGTTGCCCAAAATTGTGTTTGTAATACAAAAAATCACCTGATAAACTATTATTTGACTAAATAATAAGTTGAGTACAACATAAAGTCATAGTAATCTTAGTGTGTATTATTAGAAAGTAAGTATGCTTTAATAAAACAAAGTGTAAAATAGAAAATTTATATAGTCACAATAGCTATGAGCATTTTAAAAATATTTAAAACTCAATGAATATTGTTTAAAAAATCTGTTTTATGATAATTTTATAAAATTGTCTATTTTTCATATTTTTCAAGTCATATAACTAATTCACATTTATTTTATTGTACACATTATAGAAACTTTACACTCAAACTGATTGTAAAAACGTATACGCTTTTAATTTTACAAAAAAAAAAATCCCAGAAATTATTGTGTAAAATGAGATCCCATAATGGATATTATCAATATTAACAGAATCATATTTATTATATTTTTGGCTTAGAAGAAGTATTTATCAAATTATTGTATCCCCAATCTTACTACGCCTTATGAAATGCTTTGTGTAACAAAAATATCAAAATTACACGTTGAATCATCCGCCGATATGAACGTTAATTTTATATTTAAGTTTCAACGGTAATTATTATTTTATTGACATACATATCATAATAGCATTACATGATAAATCTATAACACATATATACTGTACAGTATAATACATATTTAACGAACAATCAAATTTTAAACGTATAAAACCTTAATTTTAAATACAACCTTATAAATTCCTTAATTTCTTTTGTCATAAAGTAAATCTAAAATTTCATAATAAAACCTTATATGTAAAATAACTTATACAAGATGTAAAGGGGATTAGGTTTAAATTACTTCTAGGTTCGTTTATATAAAATTAATTTCTTAATTATAATAAAACTTTAAATATTAAAAAGATTTTAATTTCTTAGTAGCCAAGGTGATTCTCTTTTCACAGTCTTAATCTAAAGGAGAGGATAAAATATTTGGTTTAATTTCAAGGTTATCATATCAAACAATTGAATTGAATAATAAAAGAAATTACAAAATACCTCAATTGGATTTAAGAATGCGTATTTCAGATTAATCTCCGATTTCTTTTTTTTACTTTTACAAACACAATCTTCTTGATCACAATTAGTATCAATAGATTTTATTTTAATTTGATTAATTTTTTGTTTTAGAAAATTTAAACCACAATTTTCTCCCATAGAATATAAACTTATAAATTTTGGTCTCTGCTGTTTTAATGGATTATGTTTAATAGAATTAATAAGATTTCTTATCTTATTATTATTTTTAATGGGTAATATTCCATAATCATCAGAATTAGGATAAGATGAAATAATGAGTATAGTAAAAGTAAAATCAGGTAAATTTACATAATGATTTTTTTCTAAACAATAAGAAAATGCATGCAATCCAATTTTTTCATTATTTTGATCATTAAAAAAATGATGATTAATGACAAGAGAATCATTTGAAGAATTTAACTTGCTTAGTACAGGGATTCCAAGACAAAGAACTGATGAATTATCTTCCAAATCTAATGATTTAATTATGGTTTGATGACCTGTTGCTTTAAAATATTCATTTTGAACTTTTAATTGAATATTAAATTCTGAATGACTAAGATCAAAATTTAAGTCGTAGCCAATAACCATCCAACTAATTCTCAATTTGCATTTACGTTGCTTAAATTTTTTTTGAATACAGTGAATTACAAGTCTTGGGTCTTCATTTTGTGACCAAATGACTTGACAATTAAAAATATCTTTTTCCTTTTTGTCAATTACCGTTGCAAAGATGCTACAACCAGCATCTTTATTTTGTATAATTTTTAAAATATTTTCTGGTATGTCTAATCCAAATACTCTTGGTTTTGCATATTCAACTAAAAAATACTTATGATCTTCAGTATTAGTATAAAGTATTTTTTTTCCGATTGATAATAAGATCTGTTTACGCAAATTTTCAGATAGAGGTTGAAAAATGCTAATTGGATTCTTAAATTTTATGCAACTCCAATACCTGAAATCCTTTAGAGATTCTGCCCAAACTTTTTCATCAAAATTATTAATATTAAGATTTTGCCCTCCAACTAATTTAAAACATTCACGTTTGGAATTATTAATATTATTGATTAAATTTTCAGTATTACTTTCTATTTTGATATTTGAGCCTTGACTACCTGTACTTATATTAAGTTTTTTAGGGTTTTCTTCAGAAAAATGCCTTGAAATATTTGACCTCTTAAAATAAGCTCTTCCACCCAACGTAATTTCTGTTGGAATGAATTGACCATATTCCTCAATGATTTTCTTAAAATTCCTAGGATCTTTAGATTCTATAGCATCTTTTACTTCTTTAATAAATTCTACATCTGGTTGCAATCTAAATTTTAAAGATGCTTTACCATATTCACTTATGGTACAAGCTAAATTAGCGTTACAATTAGATTTTGTAATTTTAGATCTTTCAAATGATGTACTTAAATTTACAAAAACTTTTGTGTTAATGTCCGCAGCTAAAAGTAAATCATTTTTCATAATTTGATCCTCTTCCGAATCAATTTCAATTGTACTATATTTGCAACCATCAACAATTTCAGTCATTTTACAATCCTCCATTATTGTAAACGCTTTCTTATTAGCCTTTTCTAATGTTAAAGTAATCCCATATTCTAATTTATGTCTATCCTTTAAAAATTTCCAATCAGGTTCTGACTTTAAATATAAAATTCTGTCTTCCTTATTTATAATTTTTTCTAAAATTATTCTTTCTTCATCTTCTTTTGCTATTTCAGCTAAAATATTGTTGTTATCGATTTGACCGACTTTATTTGTAAATGAAAATGTATCATTCATTTTAACTTTGCTATTTTGCTCAAGCTTTTTACGATTATTTAATAAATTTTCTCCAGGATTTAATTTAGCTAATACGCGTTTTGATTGCGGATCACGTGGGTCATCTATTTGAACTATTATGTCAATACCATCTTGTACGTCATCCATTTGTGTTTTCGCACCCCGGTTTTGTGGGCGCGGTTTTTTGTATCACGGGAGTGACAAATAAATTAAAAAAAGACTACTAAAAAGTATCGTATTTGGTGGTTTATTATCGAAAATCTAAATGATATATATAAAAAAAAAGGAGACTGTATGAGAATTATAGAACGACTTCAGAATGAAGAAAATATTTACAGAAATAGATGAAGAATTGAGGCTGTGCGCAGTAGAAATTAACTAAAGCCACGAAAAAAGAAGAATTACTGCGGATAAAAATTGATTGGAAGGGAATAAAGTTCAAAATGTTATCATTTATTAATTAAACGATAAACAAGCAAAAAAAAA